GTTTTGGTGATTATGGGTCTCTACGTATTTAATGTGTGGCCCAAGACAACTCTTCTTCCAGTCTGGCCCGGATATGCCAAAAGGTTGGGCACCCTTGTAGTATGTGTCAGAATTTCCTTCCTTTTTAAGGCTGAATAATATTCCCTTTTGTACATCTAACACATTTTGTTTATCCATTAATCCATCCATGGACACTTGGGCTGCTTCCACTTTTTGGCTATTGTGAATAATGCTGCTATGGGCATAAGTATACAAATGGCCACTTTTAAGTTTTCAAGGATCTACTGCACTGTTTTCCACAGCAGATGCACCACTTCCCTTTCCTAACAGCAATGCATGAGGGTTTCAAGTTGCCCACATCCTCACCAATACTTCTCATTTTCTGTATTGTTGATAATAGCCAAGTAACAAGTATGGAGTGGTATCTCATTATAGTTTTGATTTGCATTTCCCTAATGACTAATGATGTTGAGCACCTTTTCACGGGTTTATTGGCCATTTGACTATCTTCTTTGGAGAAATGCCTATTAAGTCCTTTGCCTGTTTTTGGATCGTGTTGTTTGGTTTTTGTTGTTGAGTTTCCTATACATTCTGGGTATTAATCCCTTATCAGATAAATGATTTGCAAATATTTTCTCCCATCCTGTGGGTTCTGTTTTTACTCTACTGACAGTGTCCTTTGGTGCACCGAGTTTTCACTTTGATGAAGTCCAATGTGTCTATTTTTTCCTCTGATGACTGTATCTTTGTCATCATATCCAAGAAATCATTGCCCACTCCCATGTGGTGAAGTTTTCCCCTTGGAGCCACATTTTAATAAGTCATTTTATCAGGATTATGAAGAACATCTTCAGATAGAACAAGTAGACAACTCAGGTCCAGAGGAGGGGGTCACTGACTTGCCAGACAGCCCGAAGCTACTACGCCATCCTTGCAGTCGGACTCCGTTCCACCCTGGGAAGAAAATAACAGGAAAGAAGAGAGCTGCCTCTAACCAGCAGGGACAGGGAACATTGGGGAAGAGTCTCCACTCTCCACCCGCATTTACATTCTTCTCCTTTGTGGCTCCAAGCTCCTTTACATGATCTATGGGCTCCAGTTTGCTTAACTGAGTAACTTGCTCCATGTGCGTTTCCTCACCAACACCCCCATCTAATCTCCATCCCAACGTGTTGAGTGAATGTTGTGCTCACAGAAGACAGAATCCCTGACAAGCAATTAGGGAAGGACCAAGATCAAAGAGCTGCATAACAGACCAAGCCCAGGCCTGTCAGGATGCCTTAACTTAGATTTGCAGAGTCTCTCCAACCTCTGACCCTGCTTCCCCCAGCACGGACACAGCACGGTGTGAGGAGCCGAATCGCCACCACCAGCACAGCCTCTCTCTCCCAGGCCGGCTCCCTGATGCACGACTTTGCACATCTGTTTGTTCTAAACACTCGCCAGCACAGGCTTGGAGGCAACCCTGTCCTGCTGAAACGGCTCTGACCAGAAAATTATAACCAGAGTTATAACAAGACTGTCCCGTCCTGCCAAAGACTGGCACTCATGCCATCAGAACCATCATCATTGTGGCCTTATTCAGGCGTAGGGAAGCTGGAGGAGCAGAATCGAATTAGCCCCAGTAGAATGAAGGACAACGCAGTTCCTCTCCCCTTCGCCTTGCTCAGTCCAGACGGCTGATCTCCTTTGGTTTGTGAAATCTAGTGAGGAAACAGGGCCAGCTTTGGATGTGTGCTGTAAAGTTGAAGGGCTTGGGTTTTATACCTCCACTTCAACATTTACAACTAGCTGTTGACTTTGGCCAAATAATCTGCATCTCAGTTTCCTCATCTGTAAATGGGAATAATTAAATCTGACTTTATATAGTCATGAAGGTTGCCTCTGGGAAGTGCCCAACACATACTAACACTGAATGGTGGCTGTTCTCACACAGCTGTGTGACTCTCCTTGAAGTTCCTCACGGTCAGGAACTGGGATTGGTCATTAAGCCCCCAGAACATAGTAGATCCTCAATAAATCCTTGTTGAACAGAGAGCCATGAGAAGACTCTCTTTCCCTTACCTCCCTACAGCATTTAGTTGTGAGTTTCGGGTGGAAAAATCAATAAAGTACTGTCCTCATTGGGCCTCGGCAGTTAAACCAGCTTCCTCTCAGGGGTTGCACATCAGGACAGAGCTTCAGTTGTCAGAGAAAGGAGGCCCTGACCCAGCAGAGAGTGTTGTGCACCCATGGATTTTAACAGAGCACTTTCCCTGCAATTCCTCGTGGCTCCATTAAACTGACAGCTTGTCACCAGCACACTGATGCCTGTTTTCTGTCTACCACAAGCTGTACATGTGCCTCATGTTTAATTCACTCTGAATTTTTAAGCAACTGTGTGAAAACAAAAAACTCGGAAAACAAAAAATAGGCCGGGTTAAGTTATTTCACCTACAAAACAATGTGTGTCTCCTCTCTGGTGCCCTCTTCCCTAATTGGTATATTTGAGTTTTGGGCTGTTTCCCCCTTGCTCAAAGGGCTTGACCTGGGGCAGCTTCTTTTTGCCTATAAAGGGGGAGGTGCTCCAGGTTAACCCACCCAAAGTGCTGGTCCACAAGAAGACAAGCAGCTCGCACCAGAATGTAAATCAATTCTTTGCTTTCTTCTACAAAAGGTATTGCTGTAAATAAAAGTCAGCTCAGCTGAACAGTACAGTCAGTGCAGAAGTTGAGGTACCTGTCCTGTGGGCAGGTAACACAGAGCCCACAGACCCGTGCCACCTGGGCATCGCACTTCAGGAAGCATTTTCCAGATCATGGAACTGCCCATATCCTGAGAACATACCAATCTGACATTTTTGATGGACTTTTGAGGGGTTTTTTTGCTACCTCGCATCCTTATCCCTTCTTTTGGTAAAGCTCCCAATATTGAGGCTCTGTCACACCCTCTCCCAGTCTGTGGGACCCAAGTGGGGATCCTGTATGGCCAGGTATGGCTAAACAGCGTTCTGAGTCTCTCCAGCCACAGTGACTGGTTGAGGGAGGCCTTGGTCCAGGGCCAGACAATCAGCATGATTCCATGTTCCTGGTTAGCTTTCAGACCTGGGATGGGTAGTGGCCCTGACTGATCCAACCAGCGTGAATCCAGGGACTCACACAGGAGCTACAAGGAAGAAAGTCTCTTTCTACTACACTTAAAATTATGAGGATGTGAGTCTGTAGACAACAAAACCCATGAGGGGAGAGCCTGGCAAAAGGTCAGAAATGGGGCAAAGACAGAGAGGAATTAAAAGACAGAGAGACAGAAACTGGATTCTGAGTATGCCATTGGATCTTCTGGATCAAGTCCTGCCTGAAGCAGGTATCTACCATCTGACTTTCCACATGTGTGAACCAGTAAATTTCCCTTTTACTTAGGCCAGTGTATGAACTTTCCAACACTTGCAACCAAAAGAGTCTGAACTTATGCATGACTAGGAAACCCTGGGCCTGTTCTAAAACCCATACACACTGATCCTAAAGAGGAAATCTGAAAAGGCAAAGGTCAGAAGAGCTGCCACTCTCTAGAACCATAGGCAGATGACCAAGACTCTCCACACCTGAGTTCCTTCCTCTGTCAGGTGGTTAACCTCGGCCTCACCCATCACAAATCAGGTGACTATGAGATACAGAAGAAAAAAAAATCTGTCTGGAAACATGAAAAGCACCATACAAATGAAAAGTGTTATTATTAGTACAACACCTTATTCAAACTTCAAAATTCTAGCATCAATAACTATGCAGATCCTATAAAAATTTTAAAGGCCTCTAGACAACACACTGTTTTTTTATCAAATGCTCTGTTCTGCTATAGGACAGGAAGCACCCTCTGCAGGCCACAGGCTGTGAAGTAAGGCAACAGCCCTGCAGGGGTCTGACCGCCCAAGGCCAGCGCAGGCCTCCGGGTCGGGCTGAGCCCCAGCATGCACTGCGGGTTATTTCTTAGGCCCACCCAGGGCATTTCTCCCCCCTTGCACACATCATCCCTTCTACTTAAGTAGTTGGAAAGCTCATAAGCTTAAAAATCATGGAAAAAATGTTGATTTAATTTATAAATTACTGCTATTAATTCTCAAACACTATTTTGCAACTTTAGAGTTGTCCTAACAATAATATTGTGATCCAGTTAGGCAGATCTTGTTTGTGTGTTTTTTTACTGTTTTCATATCTGAGAGCTAAGGCACCAATATGACAACACACTTTCCATGAAAGGACTGAACTGTTTTGCAAGTTTTGCATTTTTCCAAAAATAAGAATGCACTCATTTTTTGATACATAAAAACAGTTAGTAGTCAAGATAAAAACAGGAAGAGGCATTACCATCATTACTGATTTTTAAGCTACACTCTGAGTCTCTGGTCAATGGTGGTACTAATGGATTCTCCTTTGATGGGAAAATAACTAAATTTTTGGAGTTCCATATAATAAAGCTGGAAGAAGTTCGTTCTTCACAGTGACCACCTTTGAGGACCTCAATCCTGAGGGGGATTACGGTAGGAGGATAGAGACTTTTCTCACTAGCCTCCCCTTGTTACTGGATATCAACTCTGTGCCAGGCGTGTACATCCACGACTGAACCAGCATGCCCCAGGCAACGGGACCAATGGGCAGGGTTCCGGTTCCCCAGGAGCAAGGAGCAGCCTCTCTCTCTGCTCCTGAGGATGGACCATGTTCAGGCAGAGCAGGCTGTCCACCTCTGTGACGGACCCCAGAAATGTCACTGTTCTTTCTTCTGGCATCTCCATGTGTGCCTCTCCGTCTTACAAAACAAGCTGGCTCTTCCCTGTTCTCTGTTTGTCCTCAATTCAGGGAGAGGAAGTGAAAGTTCCCATGTTGGCCTCAAGTCCAAGGCTTGTTCTCCAGTCTAGCTATGCCACCATTAGAGCTAGAGCTTTGTTCCCCATTGATCTGGGTGCAGCAAGTTAGAAGGCAAAGGGGCAGAAGGCAGAAGCTCTGTTCCCCAAGACCTCTGGCACTTACCAGTCTGGACAATGCTCTGGAACCAGCATAGATAATGCCCACAAACAGCACTGAAGCAGGAAGCCATGTCAAAACATTAGATCTAGAAAGAAGAAAAGAAGCAAAAATACTTCTGTTACTTTATGTTCAAAAGACCTAGCTGGAAGGTATTACCCTTCAGATGCACCAAGTACAGTGACAGCAGCTACCTAAACATCCCTGAGTGACGGGAGAAGCGTGACGTGGTCTGTATCTATTGACAGAGATGGGAGCTAACAGAGTGGCCCTGCCTCCAGCCCGCCACTCCGCTCCCCACCGAGCATGACCGATCCCCCAACAGGGCACTGAGAAGCGGGGCAGGGAAAAGCCTTCCTGTAGGTTGGGAGAGAGAACACATCTAATTTTTTAAAGGGACAGTAAACATTATTCTTTGGATTTTAAGTAGCCAGAAGTGTTAGCCAAATTATTAAAAATGTTAAAAGGCTATTTACCTAGGCAATACACCAAATGGCCCTGGGCTTTCACAACAAAAGGACAAAAATGTCAAAGGACAGAAGTGAGAAATTAAAGTGTGCTAGAACTTAGGCTGGGAGACCGCATGCTGACTTCTTCAACCATTAACCTGGGATGCCGGTTCCAGGAAAATTTAAGGACTTGATTCAATTGTGGCCACACCAAGAACTGCTTTTTCATTACAGTTTAGAATCTTGCTCTCCTCAAGAAAAGCAAAATCCTAGTTTTTATATGGAGTACATATCCCTGAGGCTGCAACTTGCTTCCCCCCATCAGTTACAAAGGCATTCAGTCCACTGATTCAAGTTCCCAGAGTTATTCTCCTAGGAGATATAAATAAATGCAACCTCTCCAGCAGGATATAACATAATAATCCCAACTAACTCAATGAACTGCTCTTCGGGGATGGAGCCTGCTCGAGAAGTGATCTCTGTTAATTTTATCAGCATGAGCAGGCACTCCATCCCTGGTCAGACCTGCTTTCCAGGGTACATGGCATTAAAATGTTCCCATTCTCTTGTAAGGCCGTTAACCCCTACTTCCTGTACACATTCATTCAGCAAACACTTAGAGCAACGTGGAAGGTGCTGACAGCACCATAATTATTCTTAACAGCGACATCACCGTTGACATCTGCTTGACATTGTAGCATGAGCTACAAACCAGACACCATGCTCAGTGTTTTCTGCACTGCAACCTTTTAAAAATCTGCACAGCAGTCTCATGAGGAAAGTATCTGGTTATGACCCCCACTGCACAGATGAGGAAACTGAGGCACAAAGAATTTAAGTAATTTGCCTGTGGTCAGAAGAGTTGGTAATGGCAAAGCCAGAATTTGAATTCAGGTCTGCCTGATGCTAAAGCCCCAAATTTTAACCACCCTTTTATACCTCAGCCTCAAGGACCTCATAATCTAATGGCAGCAAACACAACATGCTCTTGCTCCGGTAGCAGACCAAACAGCTAACGATCTGAGGAACATTACCAGTCCTGCTGCAGTAATTGATGTCTGCACTTCCAACCAAGAGGTGAACAGAAACAGGGAGATGCTATCCTCTAACCTAATGGGTCAAGTGTAACACCAGCCAAGTGCTTCTCTTCTAGGAAGAGATTTTTCCATTGGACATTAAGGGTCAGCAGAGACAGGATCCAGGCCCACTGCCCGCTGCACACTGGAAGGAAGCCCAGAGTGTACACTGCAGGCAGCACTGATGAGGAAGGAAGGAAGAGGGTGCTGGGTGGAGAGGCAGCTGGCCTAGCTGCAGCAGGCCCAGGACTTTGGGATGTGAGGTCAGGGAGGCCCCAGACATTTGTGCTCCATTCCCTCTCAAACAAAAAAGCTCCTGCTGTGTCATGGAGTCCAAGGGACATTAGGGTATCTGAGCAGCCACAGACAGGAGGCAAAGAAAACAGGGCTAGGGAACATCGTGTATTTAACCCTTCTCCCTGAAAACACAAAGACATAAATTTAACTATAAAAAGTATGCACAGGTCTAGCTGTATCAAAGAAACATCTGGGAGATAGATGCTACAGGGCAGCATTGTGGGCATTTGGGGACTCTGAGGCAGGCCCAGGGGCACTCATGCCTGTGTCCTACCCCATTACCTCACTCAGGGCCCATCTTCAAGGTGGACACAGAGCAACCTGCACTTATGGTAGAACTTCAGACACCTGCAGGTGTGGTTGGCTGCAGAGCCATTTCTAGGCCCAGCTCCCAATCTCTTAGCAGTGGGACAGCTGCCTTCCTCCACCACACACCAACATAAACTATAACTGCTATTAAGAATAACAAATGTGAGCCCTGACTGGTGTATCTCAGTAGGTTGGGTGTTATCCTACAAACCACAAAATCGCCAGTCCGATTCCTGGTCAGAGCACACGCCTGGTTTGCGGGCTGGTCTCCACTTGGGGGCATGTGAGAGGCAGCTGATCAATGTTTCTCTCTCACACGTCAATGTTTCTCTCTCTCTCTCTTCCCCTCTCCCTAAAAAATAAATAAATAAAATCTTAAAAACAATAACAAATGTCAATCACTAGAAAAATTGCTGCCAAACCAGGTGTGGGCAAGACAAGTGTGAAAGGATAGAGAGAAAATAAAAAATAATGAAAAACTGAGAAGAATTCTGCACACATACTGTTTCAAAGTATCAAAGTGCTCATTTCAATAAAAATCAGAGTAAATGTTCAGTGTCATTTATGCAAAAAAAGACTCAAGGAAATATGAGTTGACAATTCATATATAAAAGAAAAGCCTACCAAAAGATGAGCAAATTAATGCATAATTCTACATTTTACTTTAAAATTGTCTTGCTTTCCTGTGGGAGCCACTGGGCTGAGAGAAGTGCGGCCCTCTCCTCTCCATGCCCCGGCATGTGCCCGTCCGCAGCCATCAGTGCACTCGGAAAAGGGAGCATCACCTGGCAAAAGGTCACTTTGCCCGCTGTGTTCAAGGCCCCCATTAGACTGGATATTGTGAACTTTGTTCGCACTGACTTAGGCAAAAACAACAGCCAGCTCTATGCTGTCAGTGAATTGGCAGGTCATGAAACCAGAGCTGAGTTGTGGAGTACTGGCAGAGCTGGGCCTTGAATTCCCGGAGTTCAAGGTGAGACTCATCATTCTGGCCACGGTGCTTTTGGAAAAATCTATCATGGGGCCGTGCGTTTGCACCAACAAGAAGCTGGTGTCTTTGGCATCGCAGAGTGGATACAACACAGAAGTGATATGCCATCTGCTCTGCCCTGGCTGCTCGGCCTTTCCAGCACTGACCATGTCTAAAGGTCATCGTATCGAGGAAGTTCTTGAACTTCCTTTGGTGCCTGAAGATAAAATTGAAGCCTACAAGAAACTAAGAAGGCTGTTTTTCTTAAGAAACTTAAGGGCTGCGATGACATTAAAAAGGCCCATGCCTCTCGGCCAGTGAGAGCTGGCAAGGTAAAATGAGAAACCACTGTTGTGTCCAGCACAGAGAGACTTTTCATCATCATCTATAATGTGGACAACATCATCAAAGCCTCCAGAAACATCCCCAAAACTACTCTGCCTAATGTAAGCAAACTGAACATTTTGAAACTTTCCTGGTGGGCATGTGGGCCCTTTCTGCATTTGGACTGAAAATGTTTTCTACAAGTTAGATGATCTGCATGGCACTTGCTGTAAAGCTGCCTCCCCCAAGAGTGACTACAGACTTCCCGTGTTTCAGTCCTCTTCAGAGTAGGCACCTGGGGACCTTACACAGTTCTCCCAGTTGCCATCAGCTGCCCCATTTTATTCCCCTGAATCTCATTGATGTTCTGAAATCTCTTCCCTCTCAAAGGTGATTTTAGTTTTGGGAAAAGCCAGAAGTCTCAGGTCACCAAATCTGGGCTATAGGGGGGCTGAGTCACCTGGGTGATTTGATGTTTCGCCAAAAAATTCTGCATGAGTCAGCGCATTGTCGTGATGAAGCTGCCAATCACAAGTTACCCATAGCCAAGGCTTCTGAATCATCCTAATAGTTTCTGCAGAGGGCTGTTCAAGCTTTACACAAAATTGGATACAGATTGATTGCCCTACTTGCTCAGTCATTTTAAGTGCAGCGGCCACACAGTACATGTGCTCACTCAACTGTGTCTACTGCCCCCACTGACTAGTACAGTGAAGTTGTCATTGTTCACTCATGTGCATTCCAGTCCACTCTCTTTGGCAGTGAGGTTACATTGATGTCGCACAAACTTTTCTTGTTATATTAACAAAGCTGGACTTTTTCTGGACAGACCTTGTATAATCTAATTTGCATGTTGGAAATATTGGCTACAGTACGGAGAATAGATTGAAATAGGGTTAGGGATGTGAGGGCAGGAGGCCAGCTGGGTGTACATTGCAGTGGTCCAGACAGGAGAAGATGGAGGTGGGGAGAGCGGACCAACTTGAGAAATCAATAGAACTTGGTGATAATTTCTACTGTGAGGTGAGGAACAGAAGACACCAAGAATGACTTCCAGGCTTCCAACTTGAATAGTGGCTGGATGGTGGTGCACTAACATGAGAAACATTGCAAGAGACCTGACTGGGGAAATCATTAACTCAGTTGTGAATATTACGAACTTGAGGTGTGAGTGGAGAATTGGATGAGAGGGTCTGGGGACCTTCCCCTGTTCTCTAGTGAGCAAGAACACACTATTAAACGTGTCTTACATTTGATGTTGCAGTATTCCCTCACCCCCTGGTTTTGAAGATAAAATTCAAACGTATTTTGTTCAACATAGTTCCCCCCCTTGGTCCAGTATTCTCAGCAATAAGAGTCTCTTAAGGTTTGGTAAGACTTTGTCACAAACTTATTCTTCATTAACTGTTTATTCCCAAATTCTAGGCAACATTGAGCCCATGACATTTACAAGCTAGTGGCACGGCAGGCGGGCAGCAAACAGACTGGCAGTCATGGGAGCGCACGGTCAGGCCTCCCTCCAGCAGAGAACCCGCTCTGCTGCGAGGAGTGGGTCAACTGACAGCTGCACTAACACAATCTGAGCAATTGTTTCCACCTGCGGCTTCAGGAACTAGAATGTAGCTCACTGCCTTGTAAGGTTTCCACCATTGTTAATGCACCATCACAACACAGAGGGATCAGACCTTTCAGCCGTCCCCCAGGAAGACCAGACACCCTACTTTGCAGTAGGGTGGGAACAAGGCAACGACATGAGCTACAAGGGCAGTGGTGCTTCTTTGTGCTTTTGCCATCTTGGCATATTTTTAAAACATCATTTCTTTAGGAAGAAATAAAACTGTAACTTTTAAATCCTAGTTAGCTCTCAGGCACCATAACTGAGGATTATTTCCTAGAGAGATGCAGTAATAACAGATGGAAATCACACCTGGTTTTGGGCACTGTAGAGTATGATCTTATAACAACGACATGGTTATGCACATCAGTGGAAAGAATAAGTAGCTCCCTTCACTCCCAAGGAACGTCCCATCGATTAGATGACTAACTGCAACCAGTAGCTCTAAGGGATAGACAGACTTCACACTTTTCTCTGGGCTGTGCCATTTCTTCTACGCCAGGTTATCCAGGGCTGGGGCCACCTAAGGGTCATCTAGGTCATCTGGGGGCAGGGGGGCAGAAGCACAGGGCAGAGGTTTTGTGTAGTGGAAAGAATGTGCCTTTATGGTCAGGCAAACTTTCATACAGAAGGTTTATATCCCAGCTCTAAAGCTAGTTGATTCATATCCCAAATCTAAAGCTAGTTTGCAATAAGCACTCTGTTTAGTTTTTTCATGTATAAAATGGGGATAATAATGCTCAGACAGCTATTGAGGAGACGAGCCAAGAGGACGCACGTGCAGTATTTGGGGCAGTGTGTGGCACCTGAAAAGCAACGACACTCAATAAATGTTCTCCTCTGGCTTTTCTACACGTGGCCCCAAACAAGGGGCCTTTCTTGAAATCATCAAGAAAGGCTGTTAGATCCACCTACATAAAAAAGCCACAGACACCATAAAGAAAATTGGGAGATGATTAACAAACCAGGAAAACATACTGGCAACATATAAAACAGGCTGGAGTTTAATATCCTTAATGTATAACGAGTACTTACAAATCAATAAGAAAAAAATCAACTCCCCAAAAGAAAAAAAAATCAAGGGAATTTGACTGTGGGTGAGAGGGGTGGGCGAGGTGGAGGCGTGGGGGGCAAAAGGGGAAAACATTGGGACAACTGTACTAGAATAAACAATAAAATAAAGTAGAAAAAAGAAAAACTCAGTGGACAAAACCAGGTAATTTTACGTTTGTCTCTCTTTCTGTCTCTCTCTCTGTCTCTCTCTCTCTCGCGCACACACACACACAATATAAATGGCTAATAAACACATAGAAAGTTACTCAACCTCCCTAATAACAAAAGAACTTTAGATGAAGACAATGATTTATCAAGTTTTTTCCAAGACTAGGAATTTTTTCAAGTTAGTATCTAAGGTGAGGCCCATGAAATCAATTTCACGGCTGTGAGATGTAAACTGGTATCTTCCTGGAGGGTGCATATGTACTACTTGCCTACACTTATCAAAAGCCTTACAAATACTCTCTGAGGTATTCAAAGGTCTCCAAAATGTTTTCATTTACAAGCGGAATGAAAGCATTCTGGCCTCCTTGTTCACCAGAGACGCCAGCACCTCAGGGTTTGCGACTGCTTTCTCTGCCTGGAACCCTCTCCCTCCAGCCACCTGCACGGCCCACTCTCCCACACATTCAGATCTCTGCTCACAAAGTCATCTTGTCCATGAGTCCTTCTTACCCACGGCATACAAAATAGCAGCCGCCAGCCACACCCACAGGCACTGGCACGCCGGCACACGCATCTACCCCTTACCTGGCGTTATTTGTCTCCGCACTTATCACCCTCTGAGACATCACATATTGCTATTTGCATTTGTGTCTTGTCTGTCTACTTCCCTCAGAATATAAGCTAGTTGAGGGCAAAGACTTTGTCTGCTTGGTTCACTGTGCACCCCCAGCACTGAGAAAAATGCCTGGCATATACATAACAGAGCCTCAAATATTGGCTGAATAAGTCACCATGTATTACTTTTGTAACTTACCCTTCTCCCCCTAGATTGGTTCAAGGGGAAAACAACAGCAACAAAATATATCAGGAAACTCCAGTTATGACCCTAATTCATGTTTCTTCATCTGCTTTTCTCACGCCCTGAACAGAATCACTGGTGCTTACAGCTACTCAGTTTTCAAGGGCAGGGGTGAGAGCAAAAATTACCTACCTCCTGCCAGCTGCCTCTCCGAATGGCACTTATGGGGAACTCAAACAGTTTCAAATTCAATAAACATTTATAACAATCATGTTAAATCCTATAACTATGACAACAAAAAATTGACTGCATTGAAAAACAAGCAAGCATGTTTAATAGACATGAACTTAGAAACTTAGAATGGAGGCTATTTTATTTTCTATAATAATTTATCTCTTTTTCTTTTTTATTCAATTTATTGGG